CAACAACAAAAAAGCCCTACCAAGGTAAAATTATTGTGATGTCACTAAAATTGTTGTGAGAATCAGAATATCATCAGAGGGAGATTAGCCTCACAAAAAAATACACAGAGAGAGAGAGAGAGAGAGAGAGAGATTGATTAACATTTGAGAGTTAGAGATTACAAAAATGAACCAGCGAAAGAGATTAAAAGGAATAAGTGACGGGTAGCAAATAGGGACAACGTGGCATCCTGCATACAGAAAAAAGCCATTCAGGGAGGACAGGACTAAGTGACCAGCTGGCTCCAAACCTGGCGATGCACCCAGGAAATGAGGACTGGGACAACTGACCAGTGACTTTTTTCATCATGGAGATCACTGGTTACCTTGCTGAAAAAAAAATTCCTAGTGAAAATTGGAGAGGAAAAGACCTTATTAGGGCAGGCCTGGGATGGAGAACAAGGGGTACAGATAATTCTTCTGAGGAGTTTGCATAAAGGGGAACAGGAAAATGATCCATAATTGGATGGAGACTGTGAGGTCAAGAAACGATTTATGACGAGAGACACAATGGCTTATTTGTATAGTGATGGGCATAACCTAGTAAAGCATCATCATGAGAGAGATAAGGGAGAATCCCTAGGACAATGCCAGGTGAGAGGAGATGTGACAGAGGCTGTTGAGACAGGAGCTGTGGGGTTTGGCGACAGAGGTTAATGCTTCGTTAGGGGAATTTTCACATTTTTCATTTTCATAAAGAAAAATCAAAATTAAGCAAGAATTTACCCATTGCAAGATAATACGATCCTCAATCTTGCACTGAAAGACTTAAATTTAGTGTAGAAATTTAATGAGTAAAATAGCAAGAATTAGGAGCACATTAACACCGGTTTTTGGAACAAGTCCCCTTCTGGAAACTTCTAAAAGCCAGACTACACAGCACTCACAAGCACTGCAGACAAATACAGCAGATATTACGGACCTTGCTGATCCTCTCATGGCCTCCTGAGGCCAGGAAACAAACCACAGCAATGAGTTTTGCCCTCAACTTCTAATTAGTTACTAAGACACTTTTCATGATACACTCCCCACCCCCGCCCCTGTGAGCACTGGGGATTGAACCCAGGGCCTCTACGTTGAGCTACCACCCCAGCCCCTTTTTTGGAGGATTGTTTTCATTAAGACAGGGTCTTCCTGAGTATTTCAGGCTGCCCTTGAACTCACTTTGTAACCCAAACTGGCCTTGAACGCTCAGTGATCCTCCTGCCTCTACTTTCTGAATACAAGGACTACAAGTGTACAACCACATCCAACTCCCCACTCTTTTTTTTTTTCTTTTTCCAGTACTGGGGATGGAACTTTGGACCTTGTGCTTGCCAGGCTAACATGGTGCCACTAAGTTATATCCCTGGCCCAGGGATATATCCTCAATCTTTAAATTTTAATACAGGTTCTTGTTAAGTTGTCCAGGGGGGACTTGACCTCAGAATCCTCCTGTCTCAGCCTCCCTCAGGGCTAATATTACAAGCATGTGCTAGCTTTACCAATTTCTAGGAGATCTTTATACAATGGAAGAAATGGCCCTTTATCTATGAATTAGAATTTTCTCCCAGGTTGACCTTGCTTCTGGTGTATTTTGGGCCAGGAAATCCTTATTTTCTAAAGTCAAACTTATGATTCTTTTCTTATGATTCTGGCTTACGATTTTTTTATTCTGTTTTAAAAGGCCTTCCCACTACAAAGTATTTTATACCATTTATGTTGCTTTGGAAAAACACATGGAACTGGATAATTAAATGTCAGAAGTTTATTGCTCACAGTTTTGGAGGCTCAGACCACGATCAAGCGCTGCTCCATGTGTTGTGTAATGAGGGCTTGTTCACCACAGGACGACAGCTGCTGTGTCCTCACATGGCAGGGGAAGAAAGGAGGCAAATGCTGGGTCCTCAACACAGAAGTGTGGGACAGCAAAGGGGCCAGCTGCTCCCTCTACGCCTTGCATGAAGTGCGAATCACATCCTGAAGGCCTCACCTCTTAACACTGTCACCCTGGGGATTTCAATTTCAACACAAAGTTTTGGAGTTGGGGGAGGGAGGCAGAAAATTAGGACGTGGCTGGCTGGCTGGAAAAAAGAATGTCACCTGTCAATCACAAGGATCCCCATCTGGAAGGGAGACTGAACAATGGGATGTGGTCTGTCGGTCACCGCCAGGATTCACGGGCAGAGCAGCTCTGACAGATCGGTCTGGAACGATATGAAAGGCTGTAGCCATTGACTCCTCCCACACCATAATCTTGCTGCCCTGCTGTCCTCCTGTTTCTGCAGTGACAGGATCTCGTCTTGTCCTTTTCTTCACTCTTTTCTTCCTTTCCACGCTGTTACTTTTCCCCTTTTCTTTGAGTAAAAGCTGTATTTAACTGTTTACCAGTTATCCAGACAATTCTTTGGGCAGGACAGAAAGTGCCTGAAATCTTCAGATACAGCGCTGTCCAGAGGGAGTAGGGCAGGAACATTCACATCACGGCAGCATTTTTCCAGTCTCACTTTTCACGCCTACGTCTTTACTCTCTTTAGAATATACCATGGCACACTTCTCAGGTAACCCCAGCAACTGCAGCCTGGAGGACTCCACACGGGAGCAGCATTGCCCAGACTGTGCTGAGGCAAATGCCTCCAGCTCCTCAGTCCCCAGTTCCTCTTCTGGAAGTAAACAGCATTACCTGTTTAACAGGCTGGGCTCCAATTAAATGAGACAACTATGCGCCAGTGTCCTACACAAGGCACTCAGAGAAGAGGTGGTCAGATGCGACTGCCCCCTCCTGCTTCTTCTTTTCCCTTGATCTTTTGGCCTAAGTAATTTTCTGCCTACCTAAGGGTATAGCAAATATCACAGAGAAATCAAGTTGTCACT